TCGCCGCAAGAGAAACACTGCATTCCGCCGGCCTGTCGAGAACCTGCCGCCGTGAAAGAACCCGTCCCGGTCGACGACGAGTTGTCTGCTGGTACCTGGGATGGCGACGTGTTAGATATGCTGTAAAAGTTTGGCTTTCAGATATAAACAATTCCATTTTGATCTGGCAATCATGTTTCGGTCAAAGTACATATGCTTGCAGTTTATTTATTTATGCAATCATACTCTTTTTCTTACATTGAGATAGTGTGGTTCGTGGTGTCTCGAACAGAAAGGTCACCTATCGGTTCCTTGTAAGACTAAATTATTTGTTCACAGTCTAGACTGGCAGTAAGACCCAACTTGGAAAACTACTGTAGTGTATTCTTGATTCAGTTGATCTTTGACTGGAGAACTACACTAGTACTTATGTTAAGTATTGAACAGGACCGTGGAAGGCTAAGATTATGAGACCCACTGATCGTTGTTGTAATCTCGACCTTCAGTTATTGATGCGTTCTCTAAAGCTGTAAGATAATATAAAATAGGCGTGTATATTCATTACTTGTTTATTTGATTTACCAAGGGTGATTCCTATTCCGTTAGGATGACGTACTCGGTACTTTGGTAAATGAGGATGTATATATGACGCGCTATTATAAATTATTTACGGTCACTATGTTCCAGTGCGCTGGATTGATGACGTCCCCGAGATGAGCTCAGGAAGGAATATTATATCAAGTCCTGCAGGCGGATGTGTATCCGACATAATGATTAAAGATCTTAGTGGTACTAGTTTCGGAAATGAATAAGAAGTTGATTAATTATTTTGTCAGTAATTTAATTAATCAACGGACGTTATATCTTAAACATAGGGAGGTAAATCGATCAATAAGATTAATAAATATTAATCAAGTGGAGGTTTGATTTAATTGATTAAATTGGAGCCAAATGGGAGAGCAATAATAATATTCTAGTGGGATATATTATTATTTAATTTTATTAGAATTTTAGGAATTAATTTTATTCTTTATTTAATATTCCATGAGATAGGGAATATTCTTTCTATAATATTACCTAGGGTTAGGAGACTTGAGAGTCTTTTAGAAGGTGATGTTAGGAGAAAGGAATCATGACCTAGTTGGGATTAATAAGTGGAGTAGAATTAGGATTCCTTGGCCTAATGGGATAAACCCATATTTGGCACCTCCTTAAGGTCCCTAATGGAGCCTATAAATACACCATGTCCCAATCTCTTGTCTTGCACATGTGAGTCACGATTTTAAGGTTCCTATAAGGAAGAGAAAAATCGAGATTTATACACAATAGAAAGTTAGGGAGTTTCGATTAATCGCTCCACCAAAATTAGTCGAAGTAGGTGTTATAGGTAATCCATTAGAAGATTTTAAGGTGATATTTATCAAACCTTAAAGATCCAAAAATTCCGTCCAGTCACCGCCGCCGTCCGCCGCCTCAGCCACCGTCGAGAGCCGCCAGAAGTCCCTCTCACGCGCCCGGACGCGCCACCTCCGCTCCCAGGTCCAAGATGGTGTACAATTTTCGCGGCCGATCTACTTGAGCACAACCCAGGCGTGTAGCATGGTGGAGTTCGAATCTCACCCTCAGCGAGTTTGTTTTTGGCCAGCAAAGGAAAGGAATAGCGCGCGGGCTCTGCGGCCCGCATCTCGGCCCGCATCTCACTCTCAGTTGCCAGCCCGCGAGAAGCCCATCCAGCCCGCGTCGGCCTGCGCGTCTCCCTGGCCCAGATGTACGTCTCCTTGGCCCAATTCCGTAAACATCCGCGGCCCAACAGCTCTTCAGCGAGCCCAGCGACATGGAAAGCGGCCCAGCGCGTCTCACCTCAGCTCAAAAGCAGTCCAGACCGGTCCAGACGCGACCAGCGAGCTTCAAGGCGGTCCAACTCGACCCGGCAGCCCCGATTCATGTCCAAGGAGGTTCCCGAGCATTCCGAGTGGTCCAATTCACATACCGAAGGTCAGAGACTATCCGTTCGTGATTCGACACTCGACTTAAGTCGACAAAGGCCAAACCCTTCAACCGATTGGGTTGTGGTAGACAGACGATCTCCATCAACGGAAATCAGAAACGTTTCTGAGTCAGCAAAAATTTTAAATCGTAAGTCTTAATCCTGACTATAGATTCCACTGCGTTAGGATTATTATTCAATAGATTTGAATGTGCACATTTTTGAACCGTAAGTCTTAATCCTAACTATAGACTCCGCTGCGTTAGGATTATTATTCAATAGATTTTAATGTGCACAATGCCGACGTTCCTAATAGAACCCAACACGACGTGCCACGTCCGGCGGAAATGGCTGACGAGGAACCGCCAGTGGTGGTCGCTGATGGGCGACCGGACGACGACCCCAAGCTGTACTGACCCGCGAGATGGAAAAAGGGGCCATTTGTTGTTCGACCACAAGGGCTCGCTGGTGGGCATCGGAAATCGAATCCGGCGAGAACAATATCAGAGTTTCTTGGATTGGTAAACGAAGCCCGCCAATATATCGAGAGATGAGTTGATCCACCGTCTCTCGCACATCCAACCTCGTGAGAAGACGATAAAAATGTTCGGTATACTCGTTAACAGATTGTTGCTCCTGCTTTAGGTTTTGAAATTGAATGAAAAGAGTACGCATATAATTGTAAGGAAGGAACTCACGGTCGAGATGTTTCCAGAATTTAACCCAGGCAGTGATTTTTGGTTTTCCCAGGCGCCGCCGTGAAGCCTTAAGCTGCTGCCACCACGCGGTTGCTCTGTCACAAAACCGAGTAGCGACGAGCTCCACTCACCAATTTGCAGGAACCTCCTTGAAGTCGAGAGCGGACTCAACTGCAGCCATCCAATCCAGAAAATCCGACGCCTCGAGGCCACCGGTAAATTCCAGAATATCCACGCGAAACGACGACTTCCAGCGCCTCTCGTCGGCCGGAATATCATCCTCTCGGTCTAGATGTCCAAAAAGGTTCACGTCGGAGACGGTGTCGTCAACGTCGTCACCATCGTCATCCCACGAAGGAGGAGACCGGTCGCGGTACGCCCCGCGATCTCCCCGGCCGCGACCACCTCGGGCTCCTTCGTGCCGTCCGCCGCGGCCACGGTTCGTTTGATTGCCGTGATTGTTAGTATTGATGGCCATCGTAAGTTCCTCGATCCTCTCGGTTAACGCTTCCATGAGACGGTCCGACGCATCGCACCTGCGGATGAGTGCCTCGAGCCGCATCCCCTTGCTCATCGACAGTGTTTCTCTTCGAAGGCATCGTAGATCATGTCTGGTCTCGTGATACCAACTGACGCAACAAAAGAACGAATAAAGGGAAAGAAGAGAATGAATTCTCTCGTAAAATTTATTTATGCAAGCAAAGTCTGCGTTTTCACTTCACGCTTCCACAAATAAATAAGAAAAGAGACCTAATAGGGCTAAAATTCTATCTTGGCTAACAAGAAGGAATAAGTAAAATACATAAATACCTACTTTCTATAAAATGGAAATAAAGGAAAGTAAAGGAAATAATAAAAGATAATCATAAATAACTAAGCTAGAGAAGCCAGACGATCATGTCGGTCCAAGAATGCGAGGGCAATCTCGTCTTCATCATTTACTTCTATCTTTAACGAGCAAAATTTGTTGGAGTTCGTTCTTCGAAAATACCTCGTTTTGACATTATTTTATTATTTTTAATAACACCCGTAATTTGTTGAAATTGCAACTACCGCTTTTGGATTTTTATGCTCCCAACTAATACCAATTTTTTTTAACGAAAAGAACCTGTTGTACTTTTATCTTGTTTGAGCAATTTTTGTTGAAGCTCGTTCTTCTTCGAAATACCTTGTTTTCAATTGTTTTTTTTTTTACAATAATTGCAACTCGTTCTTATTTCGATTAATCGCTTTCATTTTTGTTTCGAGTTGCTAAGTAATTGCAGATTTTTTAAAACTAAAACAACTTGCATTTTACTTCTATCTTTTACCAGCAAAGTTTGTTGGATTTCGTTCTTATTCAAACTTATTACTATATTCTAATATCATACTTATATCTATTAAAATTATGCATATATTAAATAATGATTCACTATAAAACTTTATTTCGTTAATTTTAAATACAAATATTATTTATATTTATACTTTCTAAATTAATAAGTGAACTCAAAATAATTAATAAATACAAAAAAAAAATTATGCAAATATAACTAGTCAATATAAAAGATTAACCAATAAATTAAAGAAAGAATTACAAAACACCAAACAATAAAAGAAACCTAATATATTAAAAAATAAAGAAAATGAATACATAATACATAAAAAGGAAAAAACAAAAGTTGGGTGGGACAATGCCACCAACAAGTGTTAGTGTGTGAGTGAGTATTTAGTTTATTTTATTTTTTATTGAAGTAGAGGTTTGGAGGAGAGAAACATTCCAAACCGACATTGAGTTTTCAAACATCATGCTTTTTAGTGGAAAATATGTGAGCATCAATTAAAACTCAAATTTAACTCCACTTTAATCCAATTTCAATATCACTAATATTATCAATATAATTAAATAATATCAACCAATCATTCTTACACATCACATAAACTTTAATTCACTATTCATCCACTCACATAATTTTAACTAACCATCACTTCCAATTTTTCTCCTACATTTACATCATATCAATTTTAATTATTTTATTTTAATATTATTTTAATATATCCACTAACAACTAACTATACCACTTTTTTCAAAATTAACTATAATTAAAAAAATACCAATTAAAACCTCTTGAAAACCTCCTATTAGATATGCCCTTAGGAGATAACTTTGACACTCCTTCCTGCTGATCCTCCAAGTCTGCCACTTCTTATTATTTCATAAATTAATTAGACCCTTAGTTAATTAGGCTATGTATGATGATTAATTGATCAGATTTGAATTGATTATTTTACTAATAACAAGATTAATAATGCTAATAGGAAATATAACTTAAATAAAATTCTTCTTTAGGCTAACTAATTTATTTAGCTTGATTATAATTCTAATAATGCTAATGATAATTAAATATTTCTAATAAATCAGATTATTCTCTCTTTTTTTTCGAAACGATAATAAATATACTCATAAATAGATAATGTTCGTACAACGGGGACCCAAATGGCCACAATCCATAAGGGATCAGAAACAGGTTGAAACCTGCTTAGAAAACAGAAGCAAAGANCACACGAACACCTAGAAAACAGAAGCAAAAAAAACACAAACCAAAATACATGAAAAGAGGCAACAGCCGCAAAGCCACGCAGAAGCCTGCTACTCAATACACGGATAACCACTAAGCACAGAGATACCAAACAAAGAAACACAACTAAAAACACAAAACTCGACCACTGCCTGAGGCCTAGCTAGGAAAATAAAAACAAGCCAGAAAAACAAAAACTAGACAGAAAACGAAAATTAAGAGAAGGAGCCTATGCTTGAGAAAGAGAAGAGCCATATTCCTGCCATTCCTTAACTGCAATGTCAATGGTAATGTGCTCTGGTGTCATGGTTTGTTGGAATACCCATAGGTTTCTAGTTTTTCATAATTGCCACAAGATGTATGAGGAGAGCTGAATTCTATCATCAATTGCCTTCTCCTTTTTGAGGGAACATATGTCAGACCACCAGTATTTGAAATTGAGATCAGAAAACCAAATTTATATTGAGATTATTCTCAATATAACCAAATTTATACTAATTTACTTAAGTCAAGCTTGACTAACTATCCCCAAAATCTCATAAAACCCTAAGACCAAAAATCGCCGAGTTGTTGTAGCCTCCTCACCGGAGCGTGGACCGCGCTCAGCGACGCAGGTCAGCTTCTGACAGTCCCCGGTCAGTCTGGTCCCCGACGAGCGGTGGTCGATGTTCTTCGAGTGGGTTTCTTCCTTCCCGGATGGCATGTCTAGGAGGGTCTGCGGTTGCCGTTTTTGTCAGGGGTACGGTGGGCTGGGCTGGAGGTCGTGCTCGGCCTTTGGCGTGAGGCTGACCCTTGAACTTCCTCTTTCCGGCGGCCCTTGGTGCTTGGTCGCTGGAACTCTCCGGTCGGTGGTAGTTCCTGGAGCTGCGACGGGTGGGAGATTTGTGGGGAAGGTTGTGGGGTTGGGGTCTCCGGGGGCTCGATGGTGGTGGACTAAGGAGGCATCGCGTCTGTCGGCTAGTTTGGTTTAGCTGTTGGTTGGAGTTGCCGTGGGAGGCGTAGCTTTCCTTGTTGGTTCATTGTTGGGGTGTCAATTTGCGCCGTGACGGTTTGTTGCTCGTTGCGCCTGGTGGGGAGCGTCGGATTTTATTTTTTAGTTCAAATGATGTCTGTGCGTTTGTTATTGTGTTTTCTAGGCTACCATTCGATTCTATTCGATAGGCCTCTATTTTTTAGCTAGTGAGTCGGGCGCTATTATGTGTTTATTATTATAAAATCTATCAGTTTTCAAAAAAAAAATAAAAAAATAAAAATATTATTAACTTAAAATAAATGGGGCGCTAGATAGTAGGGGTGAAAAAGTTAACTGATTAATTGGCGGTGTAAAAAACTTAGTTCATCTTCAGATTGAGAGTGCTACATTAGTTTCATATGATTAATTCTCTTGACACAATCTAATCCCCGTCCAGGTTCTAGGCCCCAGCCCGTCACCTTGCGAGCGCCTAGCACATATTAGAACCTTGATATAAACGAATCATAAACTAGTCATAAATCAAATCATAATTCAATTTAAATATTAATGAAAAAAATGAATAAAAAATAATAAATTCATAAAGTGATAAAAAAAAGTACAATTAAAATAAAAACTGTGTGAATGTAAAAATAAAACCAAATTTGAAGGTAAATATTGTATTTTTTTTCAAAGAAAAATTCCCATTTGTAGATTCTATTTGACTTTTAAAATAAATTTAATTAGGTTTTTGCATAAAGGTAAATTATGAAATAATTATTTATTAGATAATTTTACTAAAGATATTTAATATTTTTCATTATAAGTACTTAAAAAATAAATTTTTAAAAAAAAAAGTATTGTTGTTTACATAATTATATCAAAATACAAAATAGTTTGAAGTCTTAAATTAAAAAATAGAATGTAAAAGTAAGTCTCATATTGAGAATAACATAAAACTAAAACCTTTAAATGAAAAGGCGAAAAATTCAAGTCTTATTGTAACACAATAACAAAAAGTCAAGCCTTATAATGAAATTTTCTTGAGTGGTTGATTAATCTTGGGCCGAGCCGATGAGTTGAAGATAAAAGCCCATTTTTAATCTACCAACTTTTATTTTAACGAAGTTAACGGATTTGCTAATAAAGTTCACAGCAGCATTTTCGACCTTGTGATTGTGCAGTCTATTTTTGACCAGAGGCAAAGTATGAACAACATCCTTTATACTCAGTCAAATACATCCATCCCCATAGGCCATATCCTTATTTAATGCAAAAACACATGTCAACTAGCTAAAATGAATAATTGATCATACAATTATTGATACCTAATCTCATTATCTTTCTCCAGTGTTCTGCCTTAAATCTATATATATATAATTACTAGCTAATAGAATTTAATAAAACCTATTTAATTTTACCTATGTGGCAATTTAACAATTTTCCCTCAAAAAACCGTTACATTTTGATGTATTTAATCTTTCATTTAATCATTAAATAATTAATACTCATCACTTCAAAATTACAAAAATCATTTTAAACTTTTGATTAATGACAGTTGACCATATAATGTGATTTTATTATTGTTGTTACATTTAATTTTTTTTTTTTTGAAAATAAAAAATATATTTGAAATTCCTAAATAAATAATAAATAATTCACAAATAAAAGACGAACCAAAATATACATTACATCCAATCAGATAAACGCAATTTAAAAAAAAAATATTCCAACTCTTTTAATTGTAAATTTGATCTGCAAAAAAGTGAAAGAAAAATAATTAATCATTATATCTGTGCAAATGCACAGGTCGAATAATAGTATTAACTACTGCTGGTAACTACATTAGTTATCCTATTATCATACCTTAAACTCGACGACTATATAAAAACGCTCATCTAACATTTTAAGAATTTATATATACTATTTTTTATCTACACCAAGATTCTTAAAATTTTGAAAAAAAATATATAAGGTATTTTGTTAAAACAAATGCATACATTTGATGACGTTCTTCGCCAATTGACTTAATTGTTAATTGTGGCGACTCGGACAACCTTCACTCATTCATTAACTTGCACAAGACTTTAAAACATGATATTTCCAATATATCTTCCTATAATATTATTATTAGCTTATCTTTTACTACGTCCACACGTCTTCCAGATTAATTTTTGCAAATTTGCGTTTTTAATATTTAACAAACAATTCCCTCACTCTTCAATTAGCGCTGCTTATAAAATGCATGCCAAAGTCCACACACCAGTCCATTCTATTATTTCTGACATTTGTAGAAGTGAGATAACATTTAGGAGGGAACAAAGATTTAGNAAAAAAAAAAAAAAAAAATGTCGAAGATCATTCACAAATTGGAGGAAAAAATAAAGGAAAAGGTGGAGAAGAAGCTCCATCTTGGGCACAAGGAGGATGGCGGGAAGCATCACGAAGACGAGAAGGAAAATCCACAAGAAGAATATTCGAGTGGCCACCTGAAGGAGTTCATGCACAAAATGAAGGGCAAGATGGGAAATGGCCGTAGGCACTATAAATTCGGACAAGCGTACAATGAGGGTGAGGAAGATGAAGGAGAAGGAGAAGGAGAATTAGAATTAGAAGAGGAAGAATTCGAGGGGGAGGAAGAAGGTGGATTTGAATTTGAAATTGACTTCGATTTTTAGTTTGATGTTAGATGTGGATTTGAATTTCATGTTTTTGTTTTGTTTCCGTTATATATATTATCAATGTTTTTGTGTACAAGATATGCACTTAATTAAGTGTGTAATGGGTGCTTATCAATGTAATTTTTTTTTTATTTTTTATTTTTAATTTAAAATGTCCAATGGAGATGCTGTCCTCGGCTGCTATTTTCGATTTTATGAATTTAAATACCAAATGCAGAAATAAGTAATGCTAGTCGAATCTACAACGCAAGCGACTATTTTATGACATTTACTCCGCAAGGAAGGCCAAAGAAGAAAATGTCAAATCTACATTCATACAAACCAAATTCAAATCTATTTATACACTATCCATCCATAAACAAAATACACAACATCCAAACACAAGTCCTACTTTCCATTGGCTCAACGAAAAGGCTTCACCTCTAACAAAGATTGAGATTTATCAACTGAGTTTGCACTTATAGACTGACCTTGTGAAGGTAAGCAATTCTGGAAGCTAGAAGACAGGTCATCGAGTGACATGGGCTCGTCTGGCGGCTCTGAATCCCAACTTTGTTCTTCCTCATTTTTTTCAGTTGTGTTTTCTCTAGCTGAGTCATCATCAGCATCTGAGTCATCATCCAAGACAATGACACTTTCTATTGAAGATTCTTTGGGATCCATTTGGAGTCTCGAATTTGTGTCCGGGAAAGTATGGAATGGAAGGCTAACAGTTGATTTTATCTCATCTAGCTTGCTGCCTTCGTCTTCCTGGATATTATTAAAAAATAATTCTTTNAAAAAAAAAAAAAAAAAGGAACAAGTGAATCACGCTAGCTTCTTGATAAGAAACTTTACGATTTTATCAGGATTGAATTTCCTCTTTGCTGAATTTCCAAGTACTGCACCAAAAGCTCGGCTAGGCTTCTTCAGCAGCTGAATAGTTGCTTCAGCCTAAATAAAATTACGCAAAAATTACTTTATTTTATTTAAGCCACAAAGAATTACTGGCCACTTCATCAGTAGTATCAGAAACAACGTAATTACTGACCTTAAGTTGGGCAGACCCTGTCTCAACCACAACATCATTACGTGAAGGACTGTTCTGCAAATTATTGCCTCCCTCAGAATTTTTTATTATTTCTTTGGGAGCTTTAAAATTCGGCACTTCAGTTTCCTTGGCCAAAGTGTTCCCTTCATTTGCCTGCAAATAAAGATGACTCGTTTCAAAACAGTGAACAGAAAATAAGCAGACGCAATTAATTACTTCATGGGTGACTGAAGGGCCACTCAAGAACTATCCTTTTCATGTTACAGATGCTAATAATATGTTTAACCTGAGAAAGAAATAAAGTAGCAAAAAGTTACTAGTGATAAATATAGATTAATCTGAGAACGTGGTATACTGCTATACTTAATCTGTACTTCATCGAATATTGTTATTCCTTATAATGTGTATCTGAGAAGGAACTATACATATTCAATGACCGAGATGACAACAAATGGAAGTACAAATCTAGAACTTCTAACTCGTACTGAACACTTACCAATTCCAAGCGTCTTTCTTTAAGAAGTTTAGCAGCCTCCTCAAATGCAGCAGCATTTTGGATAGAGTGCCTTATAATACTGACAACTGAACCAAGATTCCTTTCGATATAAGGGTGCTTAGACTTCAAGACCTTACGCAAGTGATTCACTGTGAGAGGCGTCTGCTTAGCTTTTCAACCCAAA